TACATGTATTGAATTTCCTCCTGCGTCACACGAGTAGGAACGAGCTCATTTTATGTGGTCTTTGTGTCTGTCTTAAGCCTTCTGACAGTTAATTGTATTATGAGTTGAGGGTGTAATTTCTATTTTTCTAGTTTTTCCATGAATATCTGCAGTATTGTCTTCAGCCAATGTGATTTATTCTAATCTTTTCCCAAAAAGGTATGTTGCTTTCTTGTTTATTTCGTTATAAATGTTAACTGATCGTATTTAGCAAATTGTTTTCTTGTTATTAATTATAAGTTTCCACATGTAATATGAGTTCAGCTGTAAAGAGCAGATTTGAGTGTTACTGCTGCGGTTTTTCCATGAATATCTGCAGTATTGTCTTCAGCCAATGTGATTTATTCTAATCTTTTCCCAAAAAGGTATGTTGCTTTCTTGTTTATTTCGTTATAAATGTTAACTGATCGTATTTAGCAAATTGTTTTCTTGTTATTAATTATAAGTTTCCACATGTAATATGAGTTCAGCTGTAAAGAGCAGATTTGAGTGTTACTGCTGCGGTTTTTCCATGAATATCTGCAGTATTGTCTTCAGCCAATGTGATTTATTCTAATCTTTTCCCAAAAAGATAAACCAAAGCTGAAGAAACCCTGTGTGTGAGTGTGTGTTTTCCCATCCGTTACATGTGTTTATTGTAATATTACTCACTCATAGTCTGGTTTGGTCCGGGTGAACAGATCTTCAGCATCATGCTCTGACACTGGCAGTTCCACATCTAGACCTGCACCACTGCTCACAAGCGCCCCCTGTATGCTTGCGCTGTACTGCTGCAGCCTCTTCCATAGCTCATTATAAAGCCTCAAGAGTTTGGGATACTCTCCCTCCAGGGCCTGCTTCAGGAAGGTTGATGCTGAGAACAAAAGAAAAAATAAATTGAGAACAGGATGCATTTAGAGAGAAGATGGCCACATAAGGGGCTTTCGCACTAGAGTAAATGCAGTGAATAAAGACGTCGCTGTCGGCTGGTTCAGAGTTCCTGCTGCCGGTGCAAATGCAACCAGGAAAACGTCCCAAGGGGGAAACTGGTTCTCTAGGAACCACCATACTGGCTAGTTCCAAGAACTGAGATCCTAGAACTAGACGGTGCGAAAGCCACTATAGATAAATCCATGTGTTGTGTCTTTGTCCCAATATTGACATTTTAGAAATACTGCATTACTACAGTAGTTGAAAACAGCTAAAAAGTATGCAAATGCATAGACTTGTGATTACAAAGAATACATTTTTTTGAATGATGTGGAATAATGAATCTAAAAAAGAAATGTATTTTAATAGTGAATTTTAATTTCATGTTGACTTTAATGGTCAGTTTCACTACAGTTTAGAAATCAGGGTTATAAAGCCTACATTGTTGTGAATGCCATTTAATTAAAAAAGGTGTTGCCAATGACAATGGCAAGCAGTGACTTAAAACCTCAAATTCTTTCTTTGTGCCTCAGTGAGCTAAAAAACCAAATATCTCAAACCAATATAACAAAAACAATGTCTAATACAGAGAATACACTTGGCAAAATGAGAGTCAAATGGACAGAATTGCATAAAAATGCCTCTTCATTAATATGGTAATAACCCAACTTTACAGGTGATTAAATGCTCATTACGAATATTATGCAGATTGTTTCCTATGCAGATTGATTTGATGAATGCATAATTGAGTAGTTCAGAGGCGCAAGCATCTTAAACCGTTTCCATCTTTGTTTTGCTATCACTTGAACAAAGACGAGTCCTGGTAGTTCTACTCTGCTGATGGGGTGCTGACTATGAGCTGTAGCCATGTTCAGCTGATGTTACTGACAGCAGTGTTCAAACACAACCCATAACTGTCAAGAAAATCTTTCCTCGGGGAAGGTGATGAGGTGCATACAAAAACCAACAAATAAACATCAATGGTTGAAAATTGGCATCTTCATTGTTCTCTTTTGTTGTGAGATCTTCATTGTTAGTCAGGAGCCAGGTTTTGCCTTTCATGTTGTGATACAATAATGAAGTGAAAATATTAATAATAAAAACGGAACAGAAATGACCCTAGACCAGCACTCTTACTGTTAGCAAATTAATTCATAAGGGTCCCCAGGGTTCAAACAATGCTGAATGCCAAGTCAGGAAGCCTACACTGAACATTGAGAGGAATACTGGCTTCATCCTTTGACCTGCTCTTTGAAAGTCAAACAGTTCAGGAAAGAATTCTGGGAAGAGGCAGGGAGCCTTCAGTAGTCACAAAACGTATTTAAGAACAAAGAGGAAGCGATAAATCATTTATAAACGGATCTTCTTTGAAGGCTCGTGGAGCACTGATGTCTCAAGACAGAGTCCATAACAATCGACCCGAGAACTAAAATGTTTTCTGATGGCCTCTTGGAGCCACAAAGTTTGTGAGAGCATCTTCACCTCGAACATTCTCATTTTGTGAGAGTATTTTGGCATAGTTCCCCTAATAGATGTACAAGGTGAGCTCCCTAGGGTCTGGAGAATATAAAAGCAAGTTTGATTGAGAGGTTTCAAATCAAGCTTGATAAAGGCTTAGAAGAGGGAGTAATGCACAAGCATTTGGATAATAAAAGTGTTGCAAAGGCTCCTATTTGCCTTCTATTGATCAGGGGGAGTGGAGCACAAAGCATCATTAGGTCGTGATAACACAAGCAGGGATCAATAGAGCCACATCATAAAGGCCAAGGTCTAAATGAGTGTCTCTGCAGTGAGGACGTGCTGCCCGAGATCTTTAGCTCACTAATTAAGATGGGCACGAGTTGCAATCATGAGTCAGTGACTACGTTTACATGGACATCAGTAATCTAATTATTTACCTTGTTCTAAATAAGCAACTATTATGATTTATGGTGTTTACATGAGTTGCTTTTAGAATATACCTTTCATGTTCCCGTTTTACATGTTATAGTACATAGTTCGATTAATGGCACACGTCATTACGTCCAACGTGACGCCATCCGACGTCCCCTCCGGAATTACATGTATAAACATAGTTCGTCTTCGTGATGATGCCATGTACAGTTTTGGGTGTTTCATTTTTAATTTTATGAAAGCTGCAAGCGCAGTTAATTATTTGTACATGCATACAGACGATAAGCTCTTTATTTGCCGTCAAACAGTTGATCACTGCCGTGTGTGCATCCTGTCGCAAAATGCGGCAAAAAGTCCTACACGACGGTAATAATGTGATTAAGTGGTTTATTATTAAAGCACTTCGAGTTAAGTGCCTAGATCAAGAGCACAATGGCCATAGCTCATGAAACATCCCTTCTGGGGTTTAAAACAACAACCCAATGGCAAGGTCATGGTTTTGAGAATACATGGACAAACAAATTGCTTTAGATAAAACTGTTTGTTAAACACACAAATGTAATTGTCACCAGCCTAGAAAACCATCAGTTGATATACAATACAAGTGTCAAAATGCTAGGTCTTCAACCCTGCAACTAGGTATCAATCACAACCCTAATCACACACCTGAACCAGCTAATCAAGCTAGTCAGGATAACTTGGAAAAATCACAGGCGAGGTGAGCTAAAGCAAGTTGTAAATACACTTTGCAGGACAGTGGATCCCCAGGAGCAGGGTTAAGCTCAAAGTATACTTCTGTTTTTTGTTTTTTTTACACATACTCAAGCACAGTGTTTCCCAACTTTTTCTCTGCTGCAGCACAGTTTTGATAAGTAAAAAATCCAACGGCACACCATAAAGCACAAAAAAAAAAAAAAAAAGATAAAAAGGGGGAAGTTTTTCCCCCCCCCAATAATTTAAAGGGGTCATATGATGCTGCTAAAAAGAACATTATTTGGTGTATTTGGTGTAATGAAATGTGTTTATGCGGTTTAAGGTTTTTAGTTGCTCCTCTATGCCCTGCCTTTCTGAAACGCGTCGATTTTTACAAAGCTCATTGGTCTGAAAAGCGAGGTGTGCTCTGATTGGCCAGCTATCCAGTGCGTTGTGATTGGCCGAATACCTCAAGCGTGAGATGGAAATGTTACGCCCCTACCATACTGTGATGCCCTGTCCGGCCGGAGCGACGAGACAAAAACATGAAAACCCATTATAAACGAGGCATTTGTGGCATCCATTGACATAATTACGGATTATAATGACTTATATTGTCTTTTTTACGCGTCGCGTTGCGTATCGCGCCGTGTAAACATAAAACCATGTCTGCATTTGTGATCGGAAAAACGACAAACAACAAGCACTACTCTACACTGCTCAAAACTCGCGTTTGAATCGTCAGTGGCAAATCCTTTAAATATAAAAAACGTACTTACAGTCTGTGAGTCAGAACAGCCGGCATTGTAGTCAACTCTACCAGGATCAGGAAACAGTCCTCCATAAAATGCGCTGGACACATCTGAATATTTGGGTTAAACTGTTCTGGAACAGTGTTGTAAATACAACTTAACCACTGATTTCTAGTCGTGTCCTCTTTTGGAAGACCAAACAAAGTAGTTTCGCTTTCGCAACAAAACACACAGTGTCTTCACAACATGGCGGCGGCAGCGATGGCAGCAACAATAAAGTTATGCCTTCTTTCTTTGCGTGAACATTTGGGTGGTGTTATGCAAATCTTCCCACATCGTGACGTAAACATGTGGGGGGGTCTTTAAATGAGGCGTTTTAGGAGGGCGTGGACAAGTCTTAACTTTTATAAAAGAATATCTCTTTGGGTTTGAGACTTTAGTCTTTGCAACTTTAGGGATCTTATCTATTCACGAACAGCTTGTAACACTCCAAAGAGAAAGGAAACCTTGAAATCGTATCATATGATCCCTTTAACAATGTGTCATCAGAGTTGCTATTTTGGCTTTATATGATCAGACACTTGCACATAGCATTTTCTGAAAATCACGCTCAAATGGAGTTACTGTAACAAGGTTTTTGACGAGTGAATGATGGAGATCTGCACTTGTCCGTCATTAGAATGGCCACATCTGAGGTAAATTAATCACATCCGTTTTCATCAATTTACAGGTTATAAAGTGTATGCTATACTCGTAGCATTGTAGCTATATGGGCACTCCATTTTTCTTGTTGTCTAATACATTTGGCCAAAATCTCATGATATAAAAGATGAACCGCTATACACAGGATATTTAAAACATACCAAAGTATATTGGCTACAACTAGACAGCAAATGCTAAGACTCTTTTCCACTCTTCAAACACACAAAAACATCAGCCTTTGTAGGCAGTGTTTCTTGAGTAAAGAAACCACTGTAATTATTCAAACATCAGTTTTTATTTACCCTTGCATTGCGAAGTAGACATCTGTCTTCAAACTGTGAGTCGTGGTACTTCATTTTGAAAGGAGGCGGGGTGGTGTTATGAGGTTTGACTGACAATTTGAGGATCTAATGGCGTTACGAAGTTTAGTCACAAACTCTTTTGAATGGTTTTCATTGGTTGAATATTTGTAAAACCCACAAACAGACTTAACGATTACCAATAGCACTGTTTTAAAGAAATATAATACACATAGGAAGTTTTTGATAATTTTCCATGGCACACCTCACAACCTGTCATGGCACACTAAGTGTGCTACGGCACAGTGGTTGGGAAGCACTGCTCTAGTGTATGCATACAGTCGAATGCACAGC